GAGAATGTGAGAGTTTCCCATAAGTACTCAGGAAGATGAAAAGAAAGGAAATGGCATTTCACTGGGGAAGGAAAGATTAGTTGCTCAGCCTAATGGAACATTACGGGAGGGAATCCTTCATTGCCGGCCCTCAGGAGTCCTGACAGTTTACAGCATCTGCACTTTTCATTTAGCACTGCTCGCCCTGACGCAGTCACGAGAACGAAACCTGTGCTCAGAAAGTTGGATTCTGGGCCCGACGTTGGAACTTCAGGTGGATGCTGAGGAGGGGTTGAACCTCACCTGCTTTTGGCCTCTGGGGGCACGAAGTGGGGAGAACACGCCTCGAAGCTTGAGTGGGAGAACCAACACTTAACAGCGGGATTGTCGGGATCCCTGGCACAGGCAGGAATCAAAAATTAAAATTTGTCCCAAATGCCAGCCCCGCTTCTCTCCCCAGTAACACGGGTTCATAGAGGCCGAAGTGCATAGGTAGCAGTTAGGAACGAGGATGAATAGATTGAACCTCCCTGGCAAGGAGCAATCTACCTTGAATACCAGGTACTGCCAGGGACAAGCGACTGGGGGGGGTGTTGCTGACCATCCCCAAGCTTTCTCCAAACCATTCACAAGAAAGATATTGGACAAAGTCAAGATGGGTTTCCTCCCCACCAATGCAGTGTTTGCACTTCCAAATCAGGATCTGCGCTTTCAAAGTGGTCCTGCTTATTTGGGCTGGCATAAATACCCAGTTTAAAAAAAACACACACAATTTCCGTACAGGATCAGTGAGCTGAACCGTAAGACAGAGAGAGGCAGGGAACGGGTCCAATTGCCCGTTGCTTCGGGATCAAGCCAGCAGTTGAAGGATGATCATTGCCAACTTCGATGCATGGATGCCAAGCAGAGCAGGGAGGGAGCGAAAAGGGCTGACGAAGGATAGCGAAGCTTCGTTTACTGACCGGGGCCCGGCAACTTGGTCGTTAAGTGAACTGGTCGCTAAAGTTCACAATTTTACGGTCTTCCTTCAGCTTTCCTTTGCTGGATAGACCCGCAAAGGTCATCAATGCGAGGACTGGTCGCAAAATTACTTTTTCGTCACCGTTGTAACTGCGAATGGTTGCTGTACGAGGCCGTCACAGAACGAGGACGACCTGTACGTGCCCCATAGTCTTGCCACTTCCTATCTGCTAGCTGAAGTAAGGTTCACCCACCACGTCAGGGGTCAGCATCCTCTTGATCTTTGACCCGTGGATTCAGGTTGACTTTGCCAAATTTTGACAATGTAGTTTTTTTGTTTTGTTTTTTGTTTAATAGTTGGCAGAGCTGGGCTGAATTACTTGCAGCAAAATGTTAGCATTTTAATGGGGTTTTATATGAAGGTGGGCTCAGGGGTCAGGTTGGGGGGGGGGAGTTGCCACTGGGAGCCTAGAGATACAATTCCCATCATTCTGGGACGTTGGGAGAAGATTTAATATTTATTCCCTCCCCAGAACAGGGAGCCATGATTTTCCAGATAAGGGCTAAGAGGGGTTTAACATTCATCACTCGTGCCAAACCTCGAGAGTGAAAGTCAAGATGTCAGGGCATGTGTTCCCACTACGTGCCCCTCGATCAGTGACCAAGAAGCTGCCTTCACAAAACAGTGTCGTTTTTCGCCGTCGGGCCCAACTCCATCTCTCCAATGTCGTGTGCGAAGCCAGCGAAGAGGTTGATTAGGTCACCACCCCAGTTGTGGGAACTGGTTTAGAAGTGGGTCGTGTGAATCGACGGCAAGGCTATATTCCTGCCCCCTTGGCACCTCAGGAACACGCCACCCCACCCCACTTCCCCCATGAAAACTGCTGGCAGATTGCAAATAGCTCCATATTAAGTGAAAATGAGAATTCTTCCCTCTTCTGCCCTGAAAGGGCAGAACTTCCTCCAAATCTTGGCCACCCCATTCTTCAATCCTTGACGGTTTCCCCTCTGGTCCATCAGCCATGTGGAAGTGGACTTGATTTGAGAGAAGCAGTGTTCAACTTCGCTTCCATGCCTTCTAGGTGCTTGTGGAGGGGGAATAAAATTTCCACGTGGGTCCTGCATCTTCATGCCACCCAGCTTGGGTGTCGTGCAAATTACTATTGGATTTCTTAGCACGTCCGGGGTTGGGGGCTCAACTCAACAAGGAAAAGGAAAGAGATGTTCAACTCTCTCCTTCCCCCTGCGCCAAGTTACTCGGGCATCGTTTCAAAAAGACTGCCTCGGGGACCAAACGCCCAAAGAAAAGCGGAAGGACGCAAATGGAGACGCGGAGCCCGCCGTGGTTGAAATAAAAGGATTTCAAGTCCCTTGCTCGGCTGTTTCATATTTTGTTTTTCCAATTGATACACGCTGCCCATCTCATTGGATAAGTGACTCTTTTTGAAGAGGTGGGTTACTTTGGGGGCCTTTATGAGGCTGGCTGGAGAATTGTGGGAGTTGAAGAGCAGACATCTCAAAGTTGCCAAGGTTGAGAAATGCTGATCTAGGGTAGCAAAAAATTAGGTGGCTAACAGGCTTTCCGACTCAAAAAATTTATTGAACTTCATCAGATGAATGGAGTCATGTGTCGGATTTAAATTTGGATGGGGGGGGAAGAGAAACGAAGTTTTACCTGCATCTGTGAGACCATCACCCTTTCCCTGGTCTCAGCCCAGTTTAAATCCTACTTCAGTTTAGCTACTCCCTGCATTGATGAACTCAGCTGCAATTCACGAAAACCGATGCCTTTTTAATACAAATTGAGTTGGAAAAGAGGCTAGCAGACTCCTGAATCCTGCTTTGCAACACGAGCGTTTAACCTATAGACAACACTTCTGCTCCTACATTTAAGCAAGAGGCTAGGTTCATCCTTTGGGCTAAGCCACCGTTGGGCTTAACCATGGTTTGGGTGAACTGCACTGGGTGGGTTCTGACACTGCATGAAAGCCACTGGGGTTTGTGAACACGATGTTTAGTTCAGGCTGTAAAGGAGACAGGAGAATTGTCCTTTCAGACTTGCAAGATTGATGCCAGCCTTACTAGGTCAACCAGACAGGAAACACAACCGGATGAACTAATTCTACTTTATTTAAAGCTACGTTAACAGAATCTTGCAAGTCTGAAAGTACAAATCTCCCGTTGTCTCCTTTACAGCTTGAGAAAACTGGGGAAGGTCTCTTCTGAGCCTCTTTCTCCACCCATTATGCAGCTGAGGGCTATGCCCGCTCTTATCTGACTTCCCTAGGCAGCGTCTCTTTGCCCCGTCTCCCAAGGTCTTTCCCACACACTGTTACACCTCCAGAAATGGGGAATGCAAGCTCCATCAATAGACTAATTGCATTGCTCAACAGATCTCACCATCAGAAAGTTATCCTTTGTATCTAATGAACGCTAAGTCGCTAACTTTGCCCCATTATTTGTGATCCTGGTTGCTGTCTCAATCTGATTCCCTCCCCCCCCCCCCCCCCGCTATTGTCCAACAAATATTGCCCCCCACCAAAGTGCTTCAACCACCCTTAAAATACACGGTCATAATGACGGAGAGGGGGACACGGGGATGCTGTCCCAGAGGAGTACGAAAAAGAAAGGAGCATTCATGCCATTGGAAGATGGATCCTCACTGCAGAATATGGGTTTCTAAACAATGCACGATGCTCTACCCCCGAATTATAATAGGAGGGGGAAAAAAACGGGGCTTCATCACGTGCTTCTTCCCCAGCTTCACAACAGCCGGAGGACACTGGCCTGCAATGAACAGATGGGCTCAGTTATTTGGAAATAAGTAGTTTTTCTTCGGATGGTGGCCACCAGGGAGCTGGGTCTGTGATCCTGTGTCTCCCCGCAGGCTTCCAAGCATCCTTTCTCCCTCTTCCCGGGGTTGCCATGGTGATGGTTGCAAAGCGACAGGGAGGCAGAGGCGGCCGGGGACCAAGCTGGCCTTTGTTAGGGTGGTCCTTTCACAAAAGCGCAGCTTCATTCCTCCGCAATAATAGCTGAACTTCCTCCAGGGTGTTTTTCAACTCCCTGGGATTCCCAGTGTCGCCCATCCAAGGACCCACCCAGCCTGGCCCTGCTTAGCTTTTGCCACATCAGCCACGGTCAGCCGGGTGCCGCCTCGCATGTGGCGAGAGTGCTATTAATTCAGGCTGAAAGGCATGCAGAGGAACGTAAATTTAATCTTTTTAAAAAGTCTCGGTCCCCAGGGGGCTTACGATTTACATTTCAGCCATAGTGGGGGGGGGGGAGGAAATTGCAGAATAATTAACACTCAGACCCTCAGAACAACGGGCAGGCTGTTCCCCTCTCTAAAAGGTGATTGGCTTGTGATGGACAAAATGCACATTATAGGTTGATGCTAAAAGCTTTAGCAAAGGATTAGATTTCTGAGAGAATCCCTTGGACATAATG